GAATGTCCTGATAGTCTGTGAAAGACACACTGTTCATTTGTTCCTATAGCATGGGCGTTATGACACTGCTGAATAGCCTCCACTCCTGTGACATTACCACCACATCGTGATCACTGTTAGGAGGGGTTTTGTTTTTGAGGAGTTGGCTGTAAGAATTTGGTGGCAAAGAGAGGCAGAAGAGATAAAACATGTCGTTCCTTTATCCTAGGCTGTTAGTTTGAAGATGGACAGCAGGTGGACGACAGAGAGACGTTCCTGTGTGTGGCAGGTTGAAGATAACGGGCCTAAAGATACTCTTATTGTCACCGCTGCTCTATATTTAACATGTTCTCCCTCACCCCTTTCTCACTTTTGTCTTCTGTCTGTCTACTTCCCCCATGAACAGACCCCACACACACACACACACACACACACACACACACACACACACACACACACACACTTTGGTTTGAGCTGTTATTCTGTTTACAAACATTAATAATGCACAAATGATTCGATCTCGGGTTTGAATTTTTGTAGTTAGAGAAAAAGACTTGTTGACATTTGCGGGAAATAGTGAAATATTATGTTATACAATGTTAAAATATCAAGCTGACGCGAATTTACCAACACGTCTGCTGCAAACTCTCCCAGCTCGTTTACTAGCCTCGACGGTTAGAGGGACAAATCTGACCTCACATCAGCGTCTACGAGGAACCTCAACCTGGGACACAGTTTACACTCATGCAATAATCCAGCAGCTGGTTGTGTGTGCACATGAAGCCTCCAGAAATAAACCTTTTGATAAACAATTTGCTGGAAAGCTTCACTGTTTCACTACCGACGACAAGTCTCAATATACTGCAGGCTGTCTTGAGTTGTTGTTTAAATATCCTTATACAACTGATACTGAAAAGTCTTTGTTGTTTTACCTCATTTAAAAAAGTGATACATAAACACTCGATCATGACACTCAGCATGTGAATGATAGAGAAGGGCGCTGGTGTCTGGATGTTTTCTGACCGGAAACAATCGATCAATCAATTAATGTCATTTAAGTCATTAATCAAACAAAAACTCGTTGATCATCGGTCATCGATTCCAGCTTCTAAAATGTGAGGATGTGCTGCTTCTCTGTCTTTCATGATATTGATCGATGGCCTGCTGTGTAAGACAAAAGAAGCTGTTTTAAAGATGTCAGTTTCAAAAAACAAAACAGATTTAATAATGAAAAGTAATTGTTCTTGCAGCAGTTGTGTCCTTGAGAGGATTGGGCTTCAAATCATTTCAAATAAGCCTTCAACCAAACTAAATCCATGTGATGGTTTCTACCCCACACAGGACGTCATGAAAAGCGACTGCCACGGGACCTTTAGGAGGAAGTCGCAGTAATAAAGCATTCCATGAGGATTAGAGCGCTCCCTGGTCGGGTGGAGATGCCGGTTCTACCTTTCTGTCTGTCAACTGTCTCCTCTGCAAACACCACTGTAGACGCTCTGCTCAAAGGACGGGGGAGCGGAGAGGAAACCTGAGAGCCGCGATGACGAATCACAATCAAAAGCTCTCGACACGGTTACAGGAACGAGGGGACATTATGTCTGTCACGCTACCTTTCTCACCTATCTGAGATGGTTGCCGTGATAACACTTCCTGCTCGGCTTTGCAAACGTGTGCATCCGAGTTTGATGTCAATCTGAGTACACGAGCATTAACGGGGCCTCATTTCCTCAGTCAGCAGAGAAGCATCTACCAGCTGTCCTCACCTCTGGGCTGGAACTTTAATTCCAAAACAAAAGATTTAACGATGTCTTGGAGAGTGTTTCTGCTTTAGAGGAGATGTATTACTGAGTCGGCCTACTTTAAAGGAAGAAGATCCAGCAACACTTTCATGAAAGCAAGTAATTCTGCTGCCAAACCAACAGATGGGTGTGACTGTATACCCGCCATGTCACCACCACTCCTCTCAGGGAAGCTGCTGCTGGGTTAGGGTGGAACTCAAGCAAACCACTGAAGGCTCAGCCTTGTGACTACCAACACACACAATGCAGAGCATGTGCAGACACACACACACACACACACACACACACACGCACACACACACACAAACACAAAAAACTGTTGCCCGATTGATCGTCTGCCAAATGTTATATTGTTATATTTAGTAGAAATATGCAATCAGCAACAATGCTCTCTAGTCGCCAATCGCAAATTAATACCCGTTTAACTTACAAACACCGGCTCTAAGCAGCTTATAATAGCTGCAATAACTAAATAAACAACAACATAAACAGTCCGTATCGGCCAATAGCTCATCGACGACCAACAAGCGGTATCAGCGGCAAAAACGTTATCAGGGCATCTCTAAAAGCTGTTGTATGTCTGATGGTGTTTAGATAATACTTAACATCTGAGAACATGTTCAGGGCTGCAACTAATGATTACTGTCTGTCAAATATATTCTTGATTGTAAAATATATGAAAAATATTCAAATTTCAGGAGCTGGACCAGATAATATTTGGCAAATTTGCTTGAAGAATTACTAAAAAGATGAATTGGTTATCAAATAGTTGGGGATTCATTTATTTCTGATCAACTAATTGATGAATTGACTCATTGTTTCAGCTCTAAACATAAACACTGCACAGATCTCCTTTATAATCTCTAAACATGACAACATTTATGAACTACATGCTCATCAAAACACATTGAAAACTAACAAACGGAGGTCAATTAATGTGACATTCATTTTATTATTGCAACTAACAATTATATTTTTATTGTTGATGAATCTGAGGGTTAGTTTTTTAAATGAATGTATTTATCTATAAAATGTCGGAAAATTGAGAAAGATGTTATAATTTCTCAGAACACTGGGTCCCGTCTTCAAATAGCTTGTTTTATCCAACAGCCCAGACCTCTAAGATAAACAGTTTACAAATAACAATTAATCAAAATAGTTGTTGATCAACTAATGTGACTAATCGACTAATTACTTCAACTCAAAACAGAGTGAAACAACACCCAACATACATGTTTTAATGAGTGTGTATTTTACTGTGAGCGTCACAAACACAGAGTAGAAACACTGAATGTACTCTTTGATGAGGTAGAGATATGTACTTTACAACACATAGTAGACTTTTAGAAACATTTGCTTTATAACACATACTTTTAGAAACATACACTTTGGTACTGCATCTGCGTCACACGTGTTCAAGAAACTATGTGAAGCACTCAGCCGTGTAAGGAAGTACGAAAGAAAGTGAAGCAAGCATGTACACGTCGTACACACTCCGACTTCAACAAACCGTGTGCAATGAAAGGCCTGAGGGGGAATCCACAGGCCGCTCTACGAGGAAGCAGATCCTGGCTGACGGGCGGCCACCGCTTGCGTCCGCCTCCTGCAGCAAACTATTTTGTCGTCAGCAGAGCGAGTCGGGCAGCATTCTGTGTCGAGAGGAGATGAGAGCTGCCTCCAGAGCAGCCCGTCAGCCGACGAGGTACTACAGCATTGGTTACGGCTGTGTGTGCCGTTTCCCACATGATCCCAACAGATCATCCTTTGTTCAATAAATGAAACTCATATGGAGATGGAGGAAGGAGATTTAAATCCATCCTCCCCTCAATCTCAAACTGTACAGGGAGTCCCCTCACCCTTTTTTAAAATCTAATCCTTGCATTAAGCAAGGCATTGTTGGTACCCATCTCGAGCACCTAGCCCCCTCCTCCTGTTACTAATCAATTTACATGCATCACACGCCACCTTAAATCCTGCCAGCAATCCGGGCTAACCTACTCGCACAGCTCCTAATGCAGCACCAACGTTGGTAGAGGGAAGCTTTCATGTCAAAGGTCACATTTACCTCTACATTAAAACACACATCTCAATAAGTACGCTTTGAGGAACTTTGAGTGAAACCACTCTTGTGAATTTGCAGATTTTGCCAACATAGGGGGTTAGTGTTTAATTCCGAGGAATTGCACCAGACAGGCTCATGATCAGGCCCGACAGCACATGGCAGCTGTTCACGGAGGTCATCGCCTTCATTTCTAGTGAAGTCGCAGCATATTCCTTGTCCGATATCAGACGGCAATTGTCAAAATCGCACATCGCTTTTACCTGTGACGCCACCTGTGCATGTAGGTCATGAGCGCATACATACTCGTGTTTGTGTGTCAAATAGAAGTAACGCAGCAACATATTCTGTTCATACTTCGTCTGTGTCCGTCATGAGGCTGTTGTTCACTCCGTCGTGATAAAAACTTAAGTGACACCCAAAAAACCAAACTATCAGCACGAAGGCAGGACGTGTGTGATCCTCAGCTTCCACAGTGTGTGGAGCGAACCCACTCGTGTTGATGGGCGTTGAGAGGAGGCTTTGATGGTCGGTGAATGGGGTACTAATGAGTTGGCCTTATCAATGGCCGGTCTGTATTCTGCCCTCCTAATGGCCAGGGGGGGACATCAACAGAGCTGTTGATGCTCCATGTAAACATCTCAGCCACTTCCCTGTGTGGGGGCCTCTCTTCAATCATCATATAATCTAATTGGTTCATGTTGGACTTCCCTGGCAATGTTGCAAGCCATTACCTATTGCATAATAGACCAATGTGAAGAAAGAGGCTGTTTTTTTGTTTTTTTTACATCTATAAAAGTGTTTTATGTTCTGGAATAATCTATTGCTTTCCACAATAAGTCCTTCTGTGGTAGATACAGTAGGTGGGGCCTGTGGGGAATAACCATGGCAGAAGGCCGAGACAGTGCTGAGTAAACCTGTTGAACATTCATGAAGCAACAAGTCTCACATTGTGTGTGTCACTGGAGGCACAGATGAGGAGATAAACACATTGTTTGGTATATAAATTCGCTGTGGCGCAACATAAGTGTTGCATAAACGGGTGAAGACTGTGAAAAGCTGCCAGCTATGACAGTGTAGATGTGTTTTGGTAGTAGAGACCAGCTGTTGCTTTAGAGTAAAAGATGTTAATGTGACAGTGTATCGACACATGGCAGTCTTACCTGGTAATGTACAGTCAGGTCTATCCGTGTCTCCTTTCCCTGAAGCCGAACTGTATCCGTCAACAGACTGGGAGGAGACCTTTCCCTCTGCAATACCACAACTACACTAATTACACCTTTAACACAAACAGCTGTACATGGACCTCACCGCCGACTACAAAGCTGCCGATTGGTGACGCTTTCACTTTCCGCTGACGGTTGGTGTTGATATTTAATTTCGTTTTACTTTTTCCTTCCCAGTACGACCAGTCTGCCCCCTCTCTTTTCCTTTTCCTCCACTACGAGAACAGCCGAGTTTAGTCGGGAGGAGTGAGGCGGACCAACCGAAACACTGACGGATGTTCACCAGCGTAAAGCTAGCTATCTTTATATACTACTTCCGTGTATTATTTTCAAAATAAAACGCCCGGTGAGGAATTAAAACCGTGCAAGTGAAAACAAACGGAGGAGCATCTAGTTTAATCTAGTTTAAATTAGTAAAGAAAAGTGCCAAATTATGAAGAAATCTCCCTGATATTGTTTTGAATTTTCAATACAACAATTATTCTGTCTGTATATGTAATATTTCAGTTATTGGGGATGTTTTACTTATTTAATATTCTTTACTGTTTTTTTACTTATTTATAATACTTGTTTTGATCTTGTTTTTTTTTTTACTATGTCTCTTGATGGCACTATACTGTATGCTGCTGTAATCCTGTAAATGTCCCCGCTGCGGGACTAATAAAGGATTATCTTATCTTAACCTGTAACATGTTGATGCATTGGCTTCATATTTCTATGACAGTGCTGCTTTCAGAGATGCTGAGCAAATGAATGGGACTGAAATTAATTTATACGTAACTGGAATCCAGCTAATTTGATCGCATATCTATTAATGTATTAAGATACTGTGAATTAACATTCCTTCATTTATAGTGAACAGATCACATAAAGTCAAAGTGATGAACATTTGTTAATGGTGAGCAACATGAATTCATGACATCCTGTATTAAATCAAGAGTCATGTATTTGTTAAACATCACTTTTGTAGTGTTATCGATTAGGTTAAGGGGTACATGCTCGACACTGAGAAAAATAGTTTACAGGATAGTTATGGGCACATTGAATTCCCCCTGAAATTTGGACGATTGAAAGCAGTCTCCAACTGAGTAAACACTCTTATGTAATAGTACCTGAAAATTGTATTTACGGTATTAATGAGGTATTAATTTGAGGAAGCACTATGAATGCGGATGCATCAAGTCTAGGTTATCTCCAAAATATCCCTCATTCAGAATGTAAAATCTAAAAACCACCACAGCTTCCGGTCTCACACTAGCTCTCTTTGGCTAGCTTTACTGATGAGAAGCGTGAAGGCAGGTTTGTTGTTGTTCCGCTATGTGCCATGCAGAGGCGCACTTTCCCTACTGTATATGAATACATGTTCATATTCAGGCATACATATTTAAGTGACATTCCTTTTCCTTTGTTGAATTTCTCTTTAAATTACTTGTAATTAAGACTAAAAATAAGCACTTACATAAAACAATCATTCAGAAAAAAAAACAGACAATACACAAGGGTATTAAGTAAATGTTTTTATTTAAATTAGCATAAAAAGCAAAAAACTAAGAAACATGTATAATGGGCTACAGCCAACTTCAAAAACATTGATAGAGCTTGATGCATATATTTCGTGAAGTTGAAAATAAGCACTTTATAAAAAATAGATATCTACATTGTAAAATAATAAACGTACAGTATGCATTTCCAAAAGTGGCTATGTGGTCCGTACATTTCCTCCAAAGATATATATTTATTAAAAAAAAAAAAAAAAAAAAATCACCACTTGAAAGATCGACAGCAGCACTAAACATGATCTACTTTCTATGGAAGAATACGAGTTGGTGACAGTCACGAAGGAATTAGTCAGACAATCAAACAGAGTAGCTAAAATGTATCCACAAAATCTTGCTGCCCAGGTCTTAAATGATTATGTTGAACCACACTGTACTTTAATCACAGGAGTGTGAGGTCTGCCAAACGCAACTTCTGACAACCAAGAAATGGTTCTCTCTCTCTACACTCCAATCTCCTTTATTTTGGTGTCAAAAGCATTGTGCAATATTTACAAACAGACAGTTTACATAAAGTATGAAATGTAAGACAAAAAATGAAATGAACAGGACTGACTGAAGTGTTGATAATATTCAGTCTTTAGAGAAACGATTGGGAACAGGGTGGCACGTAACGAGTCGCACAGCTGAGGGGTTTGGGGCTGGAAGGGGACAGGAACTGTGGGACTGGTAAGTTACATGCTAGCTGGGTTGTTGATGCCGTTTCGTAGCCGGGGGAAGTAAAGAGAAAAGCCCGTTTGATTATTTCTACGAGGGAGGGGATCGTTGGAGCAGTAGGTAGTAGAGGAGGGTCCTGACAACAGTGTGACTTCTACTCCTGGGCCTCTTTGCCAGTCATCTTGTAGATCTCAGTGGGGCCATCAACATGGGTGATGGTAGTAGTCAGCTGGATCTCCTCTCCACTGTTTGCTCCGGTATCTCCTGCACACATATACACGACACATCATCAGCAACAAAAACCACCAGTAGCACGACATGAATACAAAACATTTACCAGCACACATTTTATTTGTTTGGGGTTATCATTGCGCACATTCCCTTCCATCACTGCAGGCTATGACCAAGGTTGCATAACAAGCTGGTTTAGCTGAATTTCATCAACATAAATACTTTCAGCTTGTTTGAAAACAGGAGCAAAACTCAAAGAGCTGATCAAATAAATCAACAGAGACTGTAACTTGGAGAAAGGCGGCCCTCCCATGAGATTGGTTGACGCAATTCAGGGAAAGCTTCCAGAACTTCAAACCCTCTTATCCTCTCCTCACGTCACTGACGTCAGGAGATGGATGGATGGTTTTGATTACTTCCCCGCTCTCCACCCCCCCCTGCCCCTCTGTCTGGAAGGAAGCCTGGTGTCCATTAGAATCACCCTCTCGGGCCAAAGAGACCCTTCTTTCCCCTGGGAATCTGGGTCCTTCTGAATCACCAACCTCCTCTCCTCCAAAAACAAACTTCGGATGAATAGGCAGCTTTACAGCAGAGGACACTTCACTGCATCAGAATTAAGTGAGCTACTGGGACACTAATGACATTTCACCAATAACTTGTGTAACAGGAAGGTACGGAGGACAGAAATGTGTTGTTGTGTAGTGGCAGCGCAGCAATCGCAGGCAGAGTCAGTGCTGCAGGTTTTTAAGGGTTTTTAATGAAACAAACCTCAACCAACACAAAACAACGTAGCTCCTTCCAAAGCTCGATCAGTTAACTCTATAACTAAACTAAACCATCCGGGCCGCTAGCCGACTTACCGGTCTTAATCATCTTCTCCTCTCGTTGGCTCCTCCTTGCTCGGTTTCTCTCCTGGCCTTTTGTTCCCCTCCCTGATGAGGAGATCCGGATCAGGTGTGTCTCCTCCCACACCTGATCTCAATGCTCTCATCAAGGAGAGGGTGGAGCCTTCTGGCAGGAATGTAGCTGCCAGCCACTACCACTACCCTGCCCCTCAGGCCCTTACACTTGAATTACCAGGACATGAGTTAGTCCACTTACTTTAAGGGTTGCTGAACCCTAAGTGTAATAAGTAAATATTTTACAATTATAGCATTGTTCATTACAGATCCAGAGGCATTTTTTATTTTTTATTTTCCAAGATGTCACCCCAAAACTTAAAGTGAAAAAGAACCAACAGGGTTAACCTGCATTGAATTTAACAGAGTGCTGACAGACCTACCTAACCAACACATACAGTATCAAAACATAACGACAAGCTCATGCAAATTACATACGAGAACAAACAACTGTAGAACATTTTTAAAACTATATCCATTATATTATCTAGTATAAATTTAAATATTTGTCTGGCGTATATCTTCAACTTAACTTCTACAATGGCTGGAAATATGAAGTATACTGGATAGACCGATGGATGGATGGATGGAGTACTTCATAAAGCAGCAAAGAGCATTTACGACACACTCCCTCCCTCTTATGCATTTAGAAAGTTAGTGGAAATATTTAGTTACCAGTGATGCACTGACCACTTGACTGCTCGTCTCCGTAACGTTTGTGAGACGGTGCGTAGAGGAACATGATGGCGAACACGTACAGGTTCCACATGCCGTAGATGCCGGTGAAGAAGGCACTGTTCACCTGCACCGTGTAATCTCCCCAGTGCCAGTGGCCCTCATTCACCTAGACACAGACAAAAGACAAACGCATCATGTTTGTGTCAGTCTTTCAAGGGCGGAGTCTTGTATGTTTTGGCACAGTAGCAAAATAGCTTCTATGGTCACTGTGAGATTGTAAAAAAAATATCACCTAAATAGTCCTGTTGGTGGCATTATGACTGATTTCATTGTGGCACTCACCTGACTGATGATGAAGAAGATGACAGTCATGGCAGCACAGGTCAAAGTGACCAGCATGAGGAACTTGAACCTGAAAATCAGACCCTGAAGGGCAATAAAGGGGATAAGTACCAAAACAGTTATTAAATATACTCTGTGTAGAAGAGAAGTCCTTTTGTACTGTCATGACCACACTGTTCTTTGTTTAATTAGTTTTTTTATTGCTGATTACCATTAGAAATGCAAAGAAATGAGAGCAGAAAACACACCTCATAGTGCAGCCGTCGGGCCTTGGACATGGCGGGCAGGGACGTCCTCTTACCGCTGATGTTGCGGAAGACTTGAAAAACCATGAAGCAGAGGAAGAGGAAGTAGAGACAGGCACAGATCCCTGCCACAATTATGAATGCCATCTGAGGAAACACTAGTCAAGGAAATATAAAAATAACAGCCTCCTTATTAAGAGTGATGGTGCATACTGTAGATACTGTATATGGAAGATATATAAATATAAATACAGACTCATTGTCAATCAAGTACTTTGTGTACTGGTATGCAGGTTTGGCCTTGTAAGCTCCTCAATGTGACGTCGCATATATATATTACAGACTGATAACCGTCTTCAAACCACAGAGAGTCAGGAGCACTACGCTGATCTTTCCTTTGGATGCGACTCGAAAGGAAGAAAAAAGGAAGAAGAGATGAGAGCTTGGCATCTGTCTTTGAAGAGATGTGCTGATGAATCTTTCATCGCTCTGCTCAGAAAGCAAAGCAAACAAACGGATACGCGCACACAAACACATCGTTTCAATACCCCATGCAATGCTTTCACATATGGCGTTACTGAATTATTTCTCATGTTATTGGTCTAGAGCAGAGATCTTCAACAGGGGGTCCGCAGCCCCTAGGGGGTCCGCGAAATGTTTCGGTTGATTAGACAATTTAAAAAACATGAATATGTCCATTATTTTAATAGTTCAGTATTGTATGAAAGATAACTGGTATCTTTATGCATGGCAGTGGCACTAATCACTCATTTTTCATTTCCACATTTATGTTTAAAATGAAAACATCAATTTGAATAGCTTGTATGCCTGATTATCATGCAATTGACAGACAATGTTAATATTGGCATTGGTATCAGCTGACAAGGTATGTTTATAAATGGCAGTGGCACGGCCTCCCTACTCACTGTACCTTGCACATGTTTAAAATAAAAACATGAATATATGAACCTGTGTATTATTTGAATAGCTTAGTATTGAATGCACAATAACAAGGTATGTTTATACACGGTACTAGGCCCATTTAATATAAAGTTACATGCTATTTTATACAATATATATAGTCAGGGGTCCCTGCTCCATCTCTCTATCAGTTTGGGGGTCCTTGGCCTGAAAAACGTTGAAGATCCCTGGTTTAGAGATCAGTTTCCAGTTCATGCTTAATAAGTCAACTAGAAGAATGTATCGTACATACGCTACAAGAACCAGAGGCAGGGCAGCTAGTCATGGTAACTTAGCACAGTATTGGTAAAGACATGCAAAAAGAGCTTGAACTAAGATTAAATTGAAAAACATGATTTGGCCACGTCCACTCTTGACGGTTTCAGACGAGCCGTTTTTGCAGGAGAGTGCTTTTATTCTCATGCTGTTGTCAAACAATTAAAAAAAGGATACAGCAAGCTCAGTTCCTACATCAGACGCCCAGATGCTGTAGAAGGGGTTGGTCAGCTGGACCCCTCTGGTGACAAAAAAAAACAAAAACACATTCATGCGTTACCTTGATGCGTCACAAGATTTACAAAAAGCATACTAAAAAATACGACAGATTCACAAGATTCATTATAATAATGTGTTGCACACCGATAGTTACCACTCTTGTATAATACGTCTCTTGTTCTAAATAGTGACGGAAATAAAACCTGGCCTCACCTCTCGCACATGTCAAAGATAAACAGGCAGAAGGAGCCAAACACGATGGGTCCGACCTGCTTCCAGTAGATGGAGAAACGGTTCCTCGCCGTCTGGTCCTGAGAGAAAAGAGCAAAACACGTGTAAAGGTGGGATACACTGTATTCATAGATCCTTGGTGATCAAGGTCACACTGAAGATAACATTCATGTAGCCATATTAAGCACGTTTAATGTTTTATGGGACCTGATGAGAATGAGTGCACCAGTGTTGATGACACAGATGCATCCTGTAAAACCTTAGAGCAACCGATTTAATATACAAAAGAACTTCACATTGTTAAGTATCAATTAAATGTCATTAAAAACTATGACGCCTTGCTTGTTGTGATAACAGCATCAGCTCAACAGCTGTGGAGATGCTCCCTGCAGAAGGCCCCTGAGGGCTAAAAGAAGGTAAACAAAAGCAGCTAAATACAAAGAATATGTGCGGTACCATGAGGTGCTCCCCGCAGAAGATGATCCAGAAAGAGAGCAGCATGGAGTAGAAGATGCCCTGCCTGATGTCCCCGAAAAGCAGCATCCAGGTCCAGTTGAAGCCAACAGAGAACCACTCCACTGGTATGTTGATGAATGTCATCGAGATACCCAGAGCAAGGATTACCCTGAGGGAGCAAAAAACATCAATGCCAACAGACGAGGGCAGAAGGATTACACATTTCTGAAGGAATTTGTAGCATCATGAAGGTTCAAAGCGTGTTTAAATATGTCTACTGATAATTGTTGATTTTAAGTGAATATCAGTGTTTTTCCTGTATAATTAGCAGCCATGCTGCAGTGTTCATGAATGATTAAAAGGATGAGAGTAAACAAGCTACAAACTCTAAGGAAACTTCTTTGCTATAAGAAAAACATTTTTTAGAAGTGTTGGCAGATACAATTTAGAGTCATTTTCATTGGCTTTACACTTGAATCTGGACTCCATCTTTTACACTGACACAATCAATGTTTTGGAGCAAGGCTACATCTGCTGAAGCAGGCTCATTTGATCAGAGGACATTATTGATTAGATTATCCATTCAGCCACAAGCACAGTGTGTCCCCACTGACCTATCCAAGTCTACACAATTTACTACCTTTCCAAAGAGACGCATTATTACAGCCAACCTCCCTCAACATTTGAAATCCAAACATTTAGAGATGATCAAATGAGGGTGAATGAATCTGGAATAATCGGTGTACAGACAGACAGAATAGAGCTCGTCTTCCAAGCGTCTGCAGCAGGTCCCTGCATGCCGGCAGTAGACGAAAGGGGGATCGTAAATAGATTCTTAAAGAGGGCAAAACAGAGCTTCAGCGTGTGTGTGTGTGTGTGTGTGTGTGATGGGGGTTTTCATGTGACCTCATGAAAACACGTGGTAACAAAAGTTTTTTGGAAATGCTGTGAGTACTAGAAGAAATGTAACACCGGTTCTAAGCGATTGCACTCCAGCCGGGCGTCAGCTTACTCTACAGAGTGAACAGAGTGAAACCACATTGGACTGGTATGCAGGGAATGTGTCCTGAGCCCCACCAATCATCCATCGGTGTGACTGTGTGTGAATGAAGACAAAGGGCGTGGTCTGAAAATCGGTCAAGTTAAAGGGGAACACCAGCTAAATGAAGAATTCCAATACGATGTTTCCACAAAGACAAAAGTCTCAGACGTGCGACGTCAAGTATGAAGTCTGGAGCCGCTCCATGAACAATGCAAATTGCTGTACTATTTCTGGTAAAATATTACATTACGCGAACACTGAACACAGCACCATAAATATCCCACAATGCAACATGGTTGTGACAACATTCACAACAGACAGCTCTGTAAGGTCAATGATGCTTCAATCAAAGTGTAAGTATAACGTTACACTTTGTTTGGCGTAATATATACTTTTTAAATGAGTTCAGACTTTAGGATTCACACAAATCCTCGTTTGGTCACAGATTACCGAATAGTTATGAGTCTCTGGCAAGGAGGCTCTCAGGAAGTGATGACTACAGTTAAGTGTGTCCGAAAATATACACAGTACTGCTTAGTCACACAAAAGTATGTTGAAGGATAGTACACATATTGTTTATATAGTGATGAGCTTCATTCTATTCTATTGCTTCCAGCTCTGAAACAGAAAATGTACCCATCTAGCACATTTCTCCCAATTCATTTTCTATGGAGCAGTTCCAGACCGTATACTTGATAACATACAAATTTGACTTTTAGTGCTCCGGGTTTTGGATTTGGGAGCAAGCTGTTCATGTTTACGAATACTTGCGTCTTGGATCATATGAATAACATGTATGAATTTTGAAAATGGGCGTAGTTCCCCTTTAATATGGAGGACTTAAACAGACATTTTAAAATTGCGTCTGCGTTCCAGCCGGGTGAGCCAGTTCCTGGGCCCTGCTATTGTGCATGCTACCTCACTGACACATTTAGTTGAACAGAGCCATCATAAATGTTATTAATGTGCTTTTCCTGCTGTGTTGTCACAATGGCTGATGTATATGAAGAGGATGGATGTTTAAGTAACAACAGAGAGAAACTAGACGGTGTTAGACCTCTCGCATCTGTCCTGTGAGCTTCGAGGACAGTCTGACTCTGAGGTGTACCATTGTGACACCTCTGTGGACTAGCATGACAGAAGACTCTGGTACAGCTTTTATGGCATGAAAAAATCATCCGGTGTCCACAAATAGGATACGGGTCGCACTTTCTGAGAGCCTGCCGGTCATTTGGGAATAAGAGCCCTGAGCTGGCAAATACAGAGGGAAGGAGAGAGAGAGATGTTAACTGTGTGTGTGTGTGTGTGTGTGTGTGTGTGTGTGTGTGTGTGTCTCTCAGTGAGCTGGTGTGTATGTGCTGAATGTGAGTATGCAGCATGTGTCAGTTGAATGCTAGCTTGCAGATTTTCTAACGCGTTTCACTCTTCGCCAGCCACTTCCTGTGGCGCAGACCGCCACTCTTACTGATCCGTCTTCCCAGCACGGCGGGGGGGTTAGACAAACACTGGGCTGTGAGCATAGCTTCAGCTCTACACAGCATGGTATTTAAACTATCCGCTCCAGGCAAACTACCTGGATTTACTGCTCTAACCTTGATGGGGTTTGGTCAAGGAATGAACACAAATATCCCTGCTTGTTCAGTTTTAGTGCGAGTGACATAGTTTTGGAGACATTGGTGTCTCCAAAACTACGATGTCTGCTTTGTCTTGAATAATGGAACTAGATGCTCTCTGCTTGTGGTATTAAAGAGCCCAAAAATTAATTTGGGACCATGAACTTAGTTCAAAACTCCAAATTGTAAACTATGAACGTGAACTAGTTCATTTGAATCTGTGTGAACTGAACTTCGAGCTCGCTCTTGAGAAGCGTGAACTAGCACAACACTGCTCACTTTGTTTCAGCTGCAATTCTCTCACAAGAATAAATGTTGTGCCAACAATACAAAAAGGTGAACAAAGAATAGCACCGAGGGAGCCGCCTTACTTCTCCAGCAGCACAGGAGGTCTCCTCATGAGGGTGATCCGCCTCCAGTACCAGATCATGATGATGAGGATGCTCAGCGTGAGGAATGTCTTCATGGCAAACCAAACTTTAGTGAAGCCTCCATTCTGGTGGATGCTCTGGAATGAGAAATAACCAGGGTAAACCATCTGTGCTGTTTATGTTCATCTATTGGCTAACAAGAGCTGACACCATCTCACTCAATGGCCAATGTCATAGTTGAAAAAGGGACCCTGGACTGGGTTAAAACACAAGGTCCCAATCAAACGGCAACTTACAACCAAATTAATGTCTTTGATTTCTCCGATCCCCACGTTGACCTTCTTCCGCTCGTTGACAGGCAGGCGAATGTTGAGAAGATAGTACTTGTGGGACACGCTGCCCAACTCCATGAAAGGAAGCGGGTCACAGTCGTAGTAATGTCCCTCGTTCTCAAAGGTCTGGAAAACACAGAGCGACACACCATATCTGGTTTAAAACACACACACGTCTAAAGATAACAGATGGTGCTGTAAAGCCGTCTCAACAAGGTGTCTGAGAGTTGAGACACAGACCACAATCAGCTGGAAGAACAGGCTTATTTGATTTATCATCTGCAATAGAATCTGTGGAAGCTGATAATCAACATGGGTAATACTACGGTTTCAATACACAATACATGTCTGGAATAAGTCATTTATGGTACTCTAACGACGCATCGTGGTGAGGCAGAGTGAGTTCCACACCTTGGCAGTAGTGAGTTTGCAGGAGAGCTTCCTCTGTTCAAAAGAGTGAGCCATCTCTGTCCAGTCACTGACTGTGTCGTCCCTGTAGGCCAGGCCCACATCAATGGTGGCTATCGCTCCATCCTCTGGGGAAAAATTACAGCAATTCACTGTCAGATCAGTATATTTAGTAGACATTTAAAAAGAGTTTGGTATGCAAGCGTGTCAATAAACACCCTCAGGTCAAAATCATTACATCCAAAAAATAACCGTTTGCAGAAGAAATGTGTGTCTTACAAAATGTAAGAATGCACAGAATAATGCCTTAATTCCAGAGCACGGTTCGGCCCAACTGTACACAACTCACTTTTGGTTCCAGATGCTGCAGTGGAATTTTGTTTTCCACTGCAGATAATACCCGGTCAATGATGGCGGGACTCTTGCTGACCGTCATGAAACACATAAAACTGCCGCGATATCATCTTCAACGCAACACGAGTTGCTCCATCCAGCTCTGGGTGGATCATTACGGTAGAAGATATTCACTGTCGTCTGTATTTCGGGGCTTATTATACTTCCTCCCTGCACAACTCTGCTGACTGTTATTATCCCAGTGACGGGCTCAAATTAAGCCCCGATGACAGACAGCCACGGCCTTTTGAACTGTGACACCAGCAAAGTGACAACACTGCATTGACATGGAGATTTCCCCCACTACAGCCTGAAAAGGTACTGTTCATTTCCAAGTACCATGCTAGCGTTGCACATGCTAATACCGGAGCGGAGCAGTGTAGAGAAGAGGATGATGATCATTTTATTCATTTAAAATCACGGCTGCTGTTGTAATGTGATGTGATGATTTAAGAAGGCTGTATTTTCAAATAGACTGGTTTTGGTTGGTATGTTGTAAAATAAACCTGTTTATACAAGGTTAGATCATGCGAGTGTTAATATGTGGTCCCGTCACCTAGGAGGAGTCTGAATAGGTGAGATTAAAAAGGATTATTTCTCAGTTAACATATTCAGTGACTCAGTCGGCTCTCCACGGTGGCCCAAATCTAGGTTACTTCCTACTTGATACAATCTCCAACAAGACCTTGAGCTGGCCTCCAACAGCCCAGCCCAGTGAATCCAACAAAAAACATCTAAAGCCAAGCCATTAAACCTGCATCTTTAGATCACATTACAAAGCCAAGTGTTCTCTCCTCCAGCCCTCCAGAGCGCCTCTTGTGCCGTTATGAAACAAGCTGGAATGAAGAGAAAGAAACTCAGTGGCCTGGGCTTTGAGAGAAAAAAAAAAAAAAGTAGAGGAAGGGGGAGAGGGAACCAGATGAGAACTGGCAGCCGACTGTCTCTGTAATGCCCTCCACTCTGCCATTGGTGGAGACAGACGCCCTCGAATGTCAGCTCGCTTCACGCATACATTCCACTCCGGTCCAGCGGCCATTGCCACGGAAACTAAGCCTCCTCAACAGCTGTGTTATTGCTGGACCCGGGCCAAGAGGGCACTCGGTGCTGGGGTGGAGTGGGGCAGGTGGGTGGAGTGGTTCGTAAGGGGCGACCCTCTTCTCTGAGACTCGCATTGTTACACAGATAAGGTAGTCGAGGAAGAGATGGCCTTGTGTTCATGGTCGTACGGCTGCAGAACATAATCTGCACACCTTGGCCACAGAGAAGGTTCTGCCGACGCCAATTTACTAATTATTGAAGACCTGGCTCCGTTGTTTTCAGGGTTTATTAGAATTAATAAACATGGAGTCTAGTATACCAGTGATCAGGGCAAAGGTTATATTTGCAACCTTTTTTCCCCAGCTGATCCGCTCCATGACTCCAGACCGTGATACGATCTGAACCATGAGTTTTGTGACCCGTTGCACCCCCATTATACAGCCGCTTAGAGGCTGAAGTATGCTTGAAACAGGCTAGTGTTTACGTTTTAGCAGCTTCTCCTTTCTAGCACACCTCGTCTCGGGAGGAAAAAGGGTTTAAAAAAAACCCGCACTGGGAATCCCACAGCTGCAGCAATAGCTGGTTTCTACTACAGGCAGCCTCTACAGGGCTCAGCTCCCTCTACATCCACTTGTTCTCACACCTCGTGTAGCTCAGAAAGATCTAAATGAGTCTGTGGCGTCTGGCAGAAAGACCTGTCTGTTGTCCAGGCTGACTCACTGACTCCTCCGTCTGTCTGCCAGGCAGTAAAGAACCCACAACCACTGCACACATTTCCGCTGAGGCCAAGAATGTGAGCAAGCAAACGATGCTGATGACTAGGCCGCCGTTGTAACAGTAACTGTTTAGACAAGCCAGACCAGAAAGGCCGGGTCACATAAAAGTACAGCACATACTTAAAACTTTTTGTTCTCTGCATGGACTGCAATTACATCTTTCACCTTTCTGTTAATTACAAATTGGTCTACGGTGGATGTATCAACGATTACAGGCATTCATCAGTGAACCCATGTAATTGCTCAGAGGGACACAACAAGAAACAGGTCCAGATTACCTCTCTCCTCTCCCTTTATACCCATCTCAAGGGTTTCTGACAAGCCCATCTACGAACCCCCCCCGAGGGTCTTTAGAGAACAAACAGCAGGGCATCCATCATTGTTTGCTGCCTTCCAGTGTAACAGAAATCCAATCTACTGAAAAACACACATTTCTGGGGGTTCCTCAAGCATTCGACGTGACGGACTGAAAAAGAGCACAAGGCCACATCCTAGCACGACATCCTGCAGGGAAGGTAATGTGAGAAACAACTACGAGTACTACCGGTAAAGTTAAAATGACTTGAATTTATGATGCAAGGGATTAGAACCGACAATAGATGTGAACATTTCGTAGGCAAGCTTGGTCACAAATATTGTAATCCAGATTGTGAAACTTAGAAAAAAATGAAAAGTTAAATATTGACACGACGAGGGAAAAAAAACTGTCCACTACCCAAACTTTAAATACATTTACCTAAACGGTTTTTGGCTCTTTTAAGATTCTCTTAACACCAAGTCACACATAACAAGTCACGTGTAAGATAGCACAGCCTCTTACACGTGCCCCATTAAGTTAGACTTTCTTCCTTCTCCCACATCTTGAAATCCACGTCCTGGGGGAGAAACATGAGCAGTGTTGTCCTCGGCTTTTTTAATTAAGAAAGCCTTGGTTCTCACCTATTTGGTTGTCCATCTTAAATGCGATGTCAAACTGCAGGATGACCAGCATGAACTGGAACCAGGGGCTCATCTCATTTTCGGGCAGAGGAATGTGGACCGCAAACACAATGTTGTTGGCCTCAATCTTCTTGGCCATGGCTTCATCAAAGTTCCGGATCTTGTCGCATTGGTTCGGACCCCAAGGCATGAACCATTTTGATTCCTGCCGATACTTGGTTGTGTCCACACACTTGGTGGCCATGTACTGAATCGGTGTGGTGGTGCCGGGAGCTGGTGAGACAAACACAAAGTGGGAGAGTTGTTAAGTCTGGGTGTCATATTGAAATACTGCAGCAAAGTGCTCCAGGGTCCTGCCGAGCCAAATCTCTCCTCTAATGAATCACAAAAAGTTTGAGTAAAAATCAATAAATAACAAGAGCACAAGGTTTGAGCCAAATCTAGTCCAAACACTTTGGCAATTACTTTTAACACCGTTTAGAAAATGCCTGGAGGCGAGGCTCTGTTGCTCTCTGAAGTGATCGAGAGGGCGATATTCCCGAAAGCTCTCAGACACCGATTACGCATTGAGATTCATGAGTTTGACAAGCCGGGGGTTTGTAGTCGCTACACAGGATTTTAGTAGCGCCTGTGAAAAAGATCCGTCATTATCATGCAGAGACAAAAGAAATGTAGTCTCCTGTGAAACCTGGAGGCCTGATGTGAACGACATACGAGAGGTTTGATAGTCAAAAAGGTGCAAGTAAGTAAAGTTTATACTCTACAGATCATGGAGCGGAAATTATGTAAAACAACCAGCATGTCCATTGAGCCTGTTTGACTGTGGGCTGGGATTTTATCTATCTATCTATCTATCTATCTATCTATCTATCTATCTATCTATCTATCTATCTATCTATCTATTAGATGGATAGATATATCCATCTATCTAAACGGTTAACACACCCTTCGACTAACATACACTCGTAAAACTCAACCAAGGCCATCTTCAAGGAACCTTCGTCTGTACAAGCGTGTTCACAGCTGTGTAAAAAAATAGAGTAAAAAGCACACATAGCAACAAAGAAGACACACCGAACTGGATTAAACCCAGTTATCCGTCTCGCAGCCCTTGCCGTTTAATTATCTAGAGACCCCTGCAAGTTCAGCAGCCCACCGGCTCCTCTAGTCTCCATCAAAGTGTGTCCAGAATAAAGGCCGTCCCCTCAGCCTGCTGACCCCATGCCGTGTTGCCGGGATTGTCGGGAAACAAGGGGAGAAAAAAAAAAAACCCTTTCTACTCAATTACCCCCGCCACCAAGCAAACACAAAGGAATCTGGCTTCATTAAAACCATCTCAGGCCGGAACGGACCAAACAAGCTAATTTATCACCAGCTATGTAGTGAGTGAGACACGGACTGCAGGGACACGGAGACAGACCGACTGGTGTTTGGGGGCTGTTTTCCACATTCAGCCCAAAAAAAAAAGCATCTTTCACAAAGACTCATTTTCTATCGTGTGTGTGTGTGTGTGTGTGTGTGTGTAGCTGTTGTGCATGTGTTGAGTGGGTGGGTGGATTTGAAGAAACTTGACAGCAACTCCAATACAGTCCTTAAGGCAAAAACACAACTTTGACAGCTGTGTGCACTTGTGTGTGTTTTTTGTGCACCACCATCTGTGTCTCATGCAAAGGCAACCAGGGGGAAGAGCAGGAAACATGAATGTTCTGCCTGCAGAGCAACGGGGATTTGGGGAGAAGGAGAAGACTTCACACAGGAGGGGCAAAGAGGAAGGAAAGGTAGAGATGCTGCCTGGGGGCCCCACACAGCAGACAGTATATATATATATATATATATATATATATATGGTGGGGGGGAGGAGGAAGAGGTGGGGGGCGGGGAGGAAGAGGGGGAGGTGAGAAGAGGGAGAGTCGAGTTTGTATCAAAGAAGTGAAAAACACAAAAAAAAGGTTGGCTGTATTTCAGAGCATTCCTGTGTAGAAAATCATAAAAAGGTATTCACAGACAAGGTATCCTGCGTTGATGTTAGGTTAAAGACACGAAGCCAACGGTCGAGGCATGCGGGCAGCAAACACCTTGATACAAAGCAGTGATTTAACTGAGGTGCACTTCGGCAGCTTTGGTGTCAAACTACCGCATTGTTTGAAGCACGACTCGGTCAAACACGGCCGACGTTAAAAGTTAGCGCTGACCATGTCTTCTGTCCTTTAAAAAACGTTGATTAACGCTGGTATGGAGACATGTAACGAACAGCTCAACTTCTAACTTTTGTGCTTTTACCGTTTACAGAGGTTAACGTTCGCATTTCAACAGGCACGCGCGCGCACACAGACAAACGTTAGCTTTTAAAAAACGATGAAATTGAAGAGATTAAACGGGGTAAAAACTTACCCATTAAACCGCCGACCACGAAGGCGACCGCCTGAAACAAAAGCAGAATAACTCCCATTATCACCAACTTTTTGGTGCTCATATTTTCAATAATAGCCCCCGCCATCGCGAAAGAAAGGTTGAAGCAAAAACGATCACACCGAGCGAGAAACAAAGAATATTGTGGTGGAAAGGGGACGAAAACGTTGCATCCACGTCCAGTAGGAAGGTCTAAGCTGGGCCCCCGCTCTGCTCCTGCCTTTCAACTTCGAAGGAGGAGGAAAAAAAAAAATAAAAAAAACAGGAATCACATGACCGTATAGCACTGAGCTTTATGCCCGAACAGCCAACACCAGACCCGGGAAAGATTTATGGAGCGCCGGCGCATTGCTGTAGAGGCTGGTAATGCAGGTTACCGTGTCATTGAATGCCTGTAGTAGCGCCTCTGTTGTGCGTTACAGTCTACAGGGCTATTTAAAGGAGGGTTTAAGAGGTCCCTTCTCATGTTTAGTGTCAACACATTGTCCTTTAAAAATATATTCTTGATGGGACAATATTTGACGTTTCCATCTGATAAATAAGATTTAAAAAAAACATACATTATAATATTCTGCAGTTTGGGTTTGAAGTAATAAACATGTAAAAGTCTTGTTTTTGATTCAGTTCCCACTGGAAACAACACATCTACCTAAAAATGTCTTCTGAGCTGATCTTATTTTTCCTTACACATGTGAATAAAATCTACCATATGATGGAGTTGTCAAAACAAAAACATATAAATAGAATAGGAGTTTAATGGACATTCCCGTTCAAATCAACATAGCAGGACGGTCAGAGCGGTATCGGCAGACATTTTTATGTGTACTGTTGCCATTGCGACATTGACATTGACTTGTTTGAACTAAACCGTCCTGGAGTAGTAACGATAAGGAACAAAGAGAGCCAGAGTAAATTAATAAAATTGAACATCTTAATGCCACATCCACACACCCTTGTCACAGCGTAGGCACATTGCTATCGCTAGATGAACGACAACTTTGTTCGGCTCATTTGCTGCACCCAGAGTAGCATTAAAGCATGGTGGAATTAACACGCTAACTAGCTGAAAGTTGGTTAGTTAGCTAGCTTGCCAATTCCACCATGCTTTAATGCTACACTGGTTACACTGGTGGGCAGCACTGGGTCTAACGGTCCCTTCGCCACTCCTCCCACCAAGAACAAGCTACATAGCTAACTAGCCAGCCATCTGCTTCCCCGAAGCTGCATCTTCTTGCTTTACAACACTTTGCAGCCCCACTGGCGTGTGTTGTTTTTGGGTTCCTCCACAAGGTCCGTTTAGTAACTGTTCTGGAGCTTCTTTTTTTTCATTCACTCATAGTTAAGGGGCTTTCCACTGAGTTTGTATTTTGTGTATCCTGCAAATCACAGAATGCTTAATGTCTCAATTCACAGTATCGTGGCAGGATTATATAAATGTACATGTAATGCTCGCTGCCGTTTCTTCTCTAAGAAAGCTGCATCTGTGCAATTTACAATAAAATATGATGAACAAACAAATGAATATAGTATGTTCAAAACAAGTATGTGAACAGCTGTGAACTGAGCTTTCATGTCTCCATGTCTTTCATGTCGTCTTCCTACTTAGACAGATGCTGGGAACTGCAATGAGATCCCATGTTGTCTTCCTGAGAGAAGAAGAGAGACTTAGTGAGAGCTGGCTTAGAAAACCTTCTGACAGTTTCTGTATGTTTAATATAAGTTATGAATGCTGGTGGAGCTGGTGGTTTAGGATTAATCTGATTCCTTTTCTCATTATAGCCCCGAAAATGATCAAATAGAAAACAGGTTTGAAATACTTGGAGTTTTATTTAAAGCCATCCACGTGAGCATTTCAGGGTCAAGTAATAAAGACAACGGACACATACCACTGTACGCCTTTTAAAAATTCACAAGCACAGAATATGATAAAAAAAAAAATAGCAACATGCAATTTCTAGTAAGTGTACATCATTCCATACCAACGATAAAACACATGTAAACACCACGTAGTAATGGAGTGAACTGTTTCTGACATGCTAGGTCATTATGAAAAACAAGGCTGTTGAGACAGGCAGAAAGGAAAGCATGACGCCGTCTTCTGAAGTGAAAGAGAGCAGAGAGAAACAGAGGATATCTCCAGCTGTCAAAAATGGCTTCCTTTCCTATTTTCTTCCTTTCTATTCATATAGGCGGCTGAGATAAAGACGTGCTGCTGGATGCAACAGATCAATAAACCACTATCAATTAAAGATATTGTTGCGACAGGAAGTCATTTGACTACCGATGTGATGCATTCCTGTTTATGAAGTCCGATGTGCTGCACCGTGACCAAGGCATAGAGGCAGCCATTCAACCTGATAACAGTGATAACATTGGTTTTGGCACTTAGGGATTGGAGGTAAGATAAATGAAGTTGCATTAAGAGATGCTGGACAGCCAAGGAGTCAGACTGGTAGAAAGAGCCTTTCGTTTTATTACTGGAAACTGGCACGGATTCTGTCCAGTGGATCAGTCTCCCACATCTTGGTATCCCAGGCCTGGAACCAGCCAGTGAAAGTTGGAGGCTCTGCTCCCTGTTTGATGGTGGTGATGGGCAGTCCTCTGCGACCAGACGGGTCTGAGTCCACATAGTCTTTTGCTGCATGATAAGAAGTAGACAGAGGGATTGATAGATGGAAATACAGTCTTAGTGACAGAAAGTGAGAATATGTAATAGTCTCACAGACAACAGACTTTGAAAACAGGAAATTATCCCAAAGATGCTAAAAAGCTCCCTAGAGCTGAGGGGAACTTTAGAGTCGGCTGATCATTTTCTGTGTCACCTCTCACATTACACATTGTTGATATAAAAATATTGATCAGTGCAGCTTTAAGATGTTGTAGCTGAATATTACATAGCAGGCAAAAATATAATCATGCATGCATGTACAATAGACCTTACAAGCTCAATATTATGCTTTTTTTAAATTGTCCTCATTAATACAATGTTCTATATTGTCAAGGTTTCATAACTTTTGGTGGACACCTAGAAAAATGTGCCCAGGAACACAAAAAAACAGGTCGCTAACTGCCCTGTAAGTCTCTGGGATTAGTGAACATATAACATTTTAATTAAGACACCCACTATCCAGGTTTGGCAGACATAATACAGTAGCACCCTTTTTTGTGACACCCTGAAAGGATGATTTAAGAAGGGCAGGGGAAATTTTCGCAACAGACTTTAAAAATACTTGAAATACTGTAACTAAATACTATGACTCTATAGTGCTTTCTAGCAACAAGTATCTGAAACGACAGTATGATCTGTGTGGACGATATGTTTCTTTCTTTAGGGTTTAAGCAACAAACCTATTTTGGGAGCTCCTGTCTTTTCTTCTGTATTAGCCTCTTTGCCAACCCACAGGAAGATCTGCAGGGAAAAGAAACACATTCAACCATTCAAATAGTGCCCAGCTATGCAGAGTTTTAAGAGTATTTATGCCTTTGTGGAGTCTGTGGAGTCTGAACTCCATAAAGGCATTCCACACATTAAACATGTTTCTGCAAGCTCTAATGATGAAGACAGAGGGCTCATGTTACCTGGTCCCAGGTATCCAGGAGCATGACATCATCAATGGCCAGATCTGACTGATTGAAGTCCCCTGGTACTTCTTCAACCTGATAGACGGAGCAGAAGAAAATTCAGTCTGAATGCGTTGATAGGCTAAACCAAAATAAAGTGTTCCACATCTGGAGCATACGAGCCTCGATAACAACAACAAATTGTGCTCGTCACTCATTTCACTCACACTAAGTCTTCCAGTTTTGTTGGAGCAGCCAAACAGACGCGGGGCGTTCACCACGTTCTGCAGACTCTTGGAGGTCTGATAATCCTTCTTCCCGCCAAGAGCAGCCCAGAAATCACCTGAGAGAGAAGACAATACAACATTTGGTGCTTTTGTTTGTTTAATCAGGAAGTGAATAACGACCTCCTTCAAAGAGTGATGCTGCTGCTCTTTGGGCCAGTCAGCTCCCAAATGCATCATCAGACCAGGACAATCAGTGACGTTTGTTTTGCAACAAAACAGAGTTGAGCTACTTTTAATCTTCAAAGTTATGTCAAAATGAGTCCAAATACTTTGATAAAGTATAACTGATTTTGATATAACTTTTGGCTTTAGTACTGCACAGCCATTAGACTAATGAGTATGATGACGCATCCTCCCTCTTTAATCATCCCAGGGCAGACAAACAAAGCTAAACGCATCCCTACTAATCGTTCCAGTTTATTTTCAGGGGAGGTAAATATTACTATTTTGCAACCGGGTGAGAATAGTCACACGGCATCTATTCGGCTATTTACACCCGGCCAAGTTGAATATGTAACTTAACTTAAGCATTAGTTAGCTAGCCTTTCGAAAGATTAGCAGAATTATTATTAGTAGTAACATCCACTACATTAGTAGTGGATGAATGGGTGAAAATCGGGAGTTTCATCCAGGAGACCTAAGTTCATGTCATTTGAGAAGTCTAGTTTTACATTTACTTATTATTTTCAGTTTTTTTAAATAATTATTATTTTCAGTTTTCAGTCGCAGTTTGGTTAAGTTTAGACAATGTTTTTTGGTTGGGTTCAGGAGAAATATGCCTACAATAGTCTATGTATACACATACAGTATCTAATGTGTGTGCTTGTCTCTGCCATGCTATATACACCCAGGTGATAATAGCCACATTGGCTGTTCCGCCTGGGTGCAAATAGAATTGTTGGCCTCTGACACCTGGGTGCTAATAGCATCAGCCCAAGTAAAAACCTATTATTACATACAATAGTCTATATTGGTCTTCAGAGGACACCCACCTGGCTCACTGCCCTCGGACACATGTTTGGGACTGCCACCCAGGAAGCCCTCCACATGCTTGGCAGCCGCCATCTCCTCATCACTGGCCCCCACTCCTTTCCACACATACAAGGCACTCGGGGACTTCAGCACAAACACATCGTTGGTGTTCAGATTGGAAGCAGAGACCTCGACCTGAGAGAACACATGGAGACAGGTGGAAGAGGTGGAAATCGAGGATGTGACAACACGAGTCTGTGTGCTGGCAGACGGCTCACCTCCACAGCCCGGGTAGCGCGGGAAGAGCTCTGGCGGATGTTGAAGAGGCGAGTGCTGTCGGATTGTGACTGTCCACCTTTGCGTGATGTTCCTCCCAAATGGATGATCATGGGTTTGCCCTGGAACAGACTCATCAAGTGTGGAGGCTCCTGACCCTGGACCACTCTCACCTATGATGGGGACATTTAAAAAAAACATCACCATGAAGAATAGTGGCTCTCATGACTATTCTAGTTTAGCCTATAGGTGATAAAGTGAAGAAAACAAATATTG